TGGATGAGTGCCTGGATGAATACCTGGATGAGTACCTGGATGAATACCTGGATGAGTACCTGGATAAATACTTGGATGAGTGCCTGGATGGGTACCGGATGAATACCTGGATTAGTACCTGGATGAATACCTGGATGAGCACCTGGATGAGTATCTGGATGAATACCGGGATGAATACTGGGATGAGTACCTGGATGAGTACCTGGATGAGTATCTGGATGAATACCGGGATGAATACTGGGATGAGTACCTGGATGAGTACCTGGATGAATACTTGGATGAGTTCCGGGAGTACTTGGATGAGTACGGGATGAGTACTTGGATGAGTAACGGGATGAATACCTAGATGATCACCTGGATGAATACTTGAATGAGTATTGGGATGAGTGCCTGGATGAATACCTGGATGAGTACCTGGATGAGTATCTGGATGAGTACCTGGATGAGTATCTGGATGAGTATCTGGATGAGTATCTGGATGAGTACCTGGATGAGTGCCTGAATGAGTACCTGGATGAGTATCTGGATGAGTACCTGGATGAGTATGTGGATATGTACCTGGATGAGTGCCTGAATGAGTACCTGGATGAGTACCTGGATGAATACTGAACACACCCGCTGAACACACAATCAGGATGAGACTGGCTAATATGGCTATTTTTTGGGGGGTGCACAAACTAATCCAGTTACGGGATTAAAGATAAATATTTTATCAATATTGTTTTTAGATCTCTCTAGCGTGATAACGAAGCTGCAAATGATAGGTAGCGGAAGTTAGTGCGACTTAATAAATGATTCAGATTAATGTAATTACGGGATTTAGTAATTCAGATTTATATTTGTGAGTAGCGCTGAACCCGTATGTGAGGGAGAGAGAGAGAGAGAGAGAGAGAGAGAGACTAACCGTACTGCTTATTATTAGAACAATCATACATCAAAACGTGAGAAATAACAAATATTTTGACGCAAACTGGAAACAGTCTTAAGACTAATAAGACAAAATAAAGGGTAACCCTTACGCATGCAAACAAAGCAAGTGGTCACGCAAACAAACGCAAGCAAAAGGAAGAGCATTCCAGCACACAGTGGGATGGGTGGAGTGCCTAATTCCGGCACTGCAAGAAGCCATGTGGCACTCTACTGTAGGAGAGACGGAGCCTGGAAGTAGAGGAGGAGGAAATGAGATGAGAGGCACTACAGTGGATTAGAGAATAACCTCCGGGTGAGCAGGCAAAATCTACAGTATAATCAGCACTTGAGAGGAAATTCATGATGACGACCCTTCGGTCTGTCCTTGGCCATTGTCAAGCCACAAATGAAAGATGAAAAGCAAGGAAGTCCCGAAGACAGGACGGAAGGAGGGAGAAGTAGTAATAGCTGCAGTAACAGTAGAAGTAGTAGCAATAGTATTAGTAGTAGTAGTTGTAGAAATAGTAATAATAGTAATAATAATAGTAGTAATAGTTGTAGCAACAGTAGAATAAGTAGCAATAGTGGTAAAAGTAATAATAGTAGTAGAAGCAATAATAATAGTATGAGTAATAATAGCAATAGGTGTACTAACAGTAGCAGCAGTAGTAATAGCAGTATAAGCAGCAGCAATAGTATCAGTAGTAATAGTTGTAGTAACAGTAGTAGTAATAGCAGAAGAAATAGCAGTTATAGTATCAGTAGTAATAGTTGTAGTAACAGTAGCAGTCGTAGTAGGAGTCCGGGAAGAAACACAGCCTGGGCAACTTGAAGAGGGTAGGGGCTGCCCAAGGATCAGTGCTGGAACCGCCTCTGTTCTTGATGTACGTATACTACAGGGTGTTTCACTCGTAAACGACCCCGAGTTATTGTTTAATACAGCCATAATTTACAAACAAAACGGTTGTAACTACGAGAGTACCAACTTGGGGCCTTCTACGAGTGAAATACCCTGTAGAAGAAACAGCCTCGGGAATTAACTGCAACAAGACCTCGTTCACCAGCAGAATTGATCAGTCAACGGGTTACTAGAATTCAGCGTTACCAAGTGCCAGGATATTAAAATGTTGGAGAGCAAGAAGACCGGTAACCGAGTATAAAAATCAGGAACAAAGGCAAAACAAAAGAACTGCAGATGTCCGGTAAATAGTGAGTAGGTTGGTGAGTAGAAGATTCCTGTTCATCTCGCAGCAAGTAGGTACCCGGGTGTTAGTCGACAGTTGTGTGTCGCATCCTGGGGAGGGTGGTAGTGTACCTATACTTGAGACAAAGGTTACCTTTGTGATGAGTTTCCCTCAAGGGAGGTTCCTTGACGCTGGTGAGGGGCTTTGGATCCGGGGAACTGGATCTGTGCTCCAGTTCCCTGAAATGAGCCTGAATACCTTCCGTTCTCCCCCACAGGCGCTGTATAATCCTACGGGTTTAGTGCTCCCCCATGATTACAATAATTTGTAAATGAGCCGAGGTAGGATAACAGCACTTAGTCTGTAAATTCAAATGTGTAAAATAAAAAAGTTTTTATCTTAAAAGG